GATTTTGGCTAAACAACGACGACATACTAAATGTAATTTTACTAGTGAGGTTCGAGAATAATGGTGTGTAAACCTTATCCACTTTTTGAAGGTAAAGATACTATCTTACATTTTATACTTATCAGCAGGGGCGGCTGACAAGGCTTGTAAAAAAGTCCTTGGCCTTAGGCCCCCAATTTTAGGGGGCCCCATTTTTTAGTTAATTAGATAGGATTAAATTTAAAAAAAAAAATTAGAACTAAGAGAATAAATGCAAAGGCCCCATTTTTTAGTTAATTAGGAAAGATTAAATTTAAAAAAAATAAAAATTGTTAGAGCTAATAAGTCAATAGTGAAACGGCTAAATGAGGTGATTGTCATAGATATGACCATGACTTTTTAACTTTCCCATAAAAAGTTGAAAAGTTGTGTACTTTTTTTTAACTTACAAGTTATCTTCTTTTTTTTACCTTATTTTGTTTTCTAATTTTATTTTTATATATTCTATCCTTCTCCCTTCTATTTCTTCTCACTTTCTCTTTTCTAATCTTACATCTCTCTCTTATTCAAAGCTAAAAGAATTTACTTGTTCTATTGATAATTTATATTTTAAATTTGGAGAAAACTATATTGCAGCTGCCCGATTCATTTTCGGAAATCAAGTCTTCATAGCTTTTGAATTTGGTAATATCATTCTAATTTCTAATATTATTTTTGTTTTGTGTCTTATGTTTATTATATTTTTTATTTGATATTGTAAATAGTGTTTAAAATATTTGTTAGATTTTAATATGTCAACTAGAAAATATGAATCCGGTCATTCAAAACTTAAAAGAAAAAGAAAAGTCGACAACTTGATAAAATCTCAAAAAGGTGCTCTTGATAAATTTTTGGAAAACAATGATAATATTAAATCAAAAAAGGTAGGGGAATGCTCTTTAGAAGAACAAGTTACAAACTTAGTTGAAGTTGAGTTAGATAATGATATAAACCAAAAAGAAGAAGAAGGAGAGGAAATTAGTGAAAAGTCGGATGTAGATTCCCAAGAAAATCAAGAACTTATAAATGAATTAAATAATCATACTCCTAAAAATATCTATGATCCTAGTCAATGGAATATTGTTGATACAAAGTTAAGAGACTTATTAGTAGAAAAGGGACCAATTAGAATTACCGACACATGTTTTCCAAAGGATAAATTTTTAAGGCACTTTTCTACTACATATTATTTTCAAAAGTTGGCAAATGGAGAAAGACATGAAAGAAGATGGTTAGTTTATTCCAAAGATTTGAATAAGGTATTTTGTTTTTGTTGTAAGTTATTTAATATGACCTTTAATGCAAAGAATAATAAGTTAGCTCATGAAGGTAGTAGAGATTGGAAAAATCTTACTACTAAGCTTAGAACCCATGAAACAACTAGCCAACATATTATTAATATGAGTTCATGGATTGATTTAGAATTTAGATTGCGTAATAATAAAACAATCGATAAAAACATTCAAGACCAAATTAATAGAGATAGAGAACATTGGAAAAATGTATTGTCAAGAATTATTTCCGTCATAAAAACTCTTGGAAGAAATAATTTGGCATTTAGGGGGAAAAATGAAAAAATCTATCAAGAAAATAACGGAAATTTCTTGAGTCTTATTGAAATGATTGCAGAATTTGATCCAATTATGCAAGAACATATTCGACGAATCAAACATGATGAAATTCATAATCATTATCTTGGACATAATATACAAAATGAATTAATAAATTTATTGGCAAGTGAAATTAAGAACAAGATAATTGAAAAAGTTATAAAAACAAAGTATTTCTCTATCATACTTGATTGCACGCCAGATACAAGTCATCAAGACCAAATGTCTTTTATAATACGGAGTGTAGATATTTCGACAACTCCAATAAATGTAACTGAATATTTCTTAGAATTCTTAAAAGTGGATGATACAAGTGGAAAAGGTCTTTTTGAAGTTATTTTAGATGAAATAAAATGTATTGGACTTGATATTGATAATTTAAGAGGACAAGGATATGATAATGGGTCTAATATGAAGGGAAAACACCAAGGAGTGCAAAAAAGACTTCTTGATATAAATCCTAGATCATTTTATACACCATGTGGTTGTCATAATCTAAATTTGGTACTTTGTGATATGGTTAATTCTTGTACGAAATCTATATCATTCTTTGGAGTGGTACAACGTATATATTCACTATGTTCTTCGTCTACTAAGCGGTGGAAAATTTTAAAAGATAGTGTACCTAGTTTAACTCTTAAATCATTGTCACAAACACGGTGGGAAAGTCGTATTGAAAGTGTTAAAGCAATAAGATTTCAAACTCCACAAATAAGAGATGCTTTATTTAAATTAGAAGAAGTTAGTGATGATCCAAAAATTAAAAGTGAAGCTAATTGTTTAGCAATTTTTGAGCTTGAAAATTTTGAATTTTCATTGGGTATGACTATTTGGTATGATGTACTATTTGCTGTAAATTCAATTAGCAAAAGTTTACAATCAAAAGATATGCATATTGATGTCGCTATAGATCAATTAAGAGGTTTAGTTTCTTTTTTTAAAACATATAGAGAAGAAGGATTTACAAGTGCTATGATTTCGGCTAAGGAAATTGCATTAGAGATGAATATTGAACCTGTATTTCGTAAAAAACGTGTAATTTATAGAAAAAAACAATTTGATGAGAATGAAATCACAAGATCTCTTGAAAAATCATTTAGAGTTGATTACTTCTTATACATAGTAGACCAAGCCATCTTTTCACTTCAAAATAGATTTGAACAATTTGAAGTATATGAAAATATTTTTGGTTTTCTATTTAGTGGGAAAAAATTGAGATCATTAGATGATGAGAATTTAAAAAAATATTGTCTTAATCTTGAATGTTCCTTAAAACATAATACTCACTCCGATATTGACGGTTTAGACTTATTTTTTGAATTAAAAGTGTTAAGGAAAATCATAAAAGTAGAAGACAATACTCTAATTGAGATACTCAATCAAATAAAAAGACTTGATTCTTTTCCAAATGCTTACATTGCTTATAGAATAATGTTAACAATTCCCGTAACAGTCGCCTCATCCGAAAGAAGTTTTTCAAAATTAAAAATAATAAAATCTTATTTAAGATCGACAATGTCTCAAGAAAGATTAAGTGGTTTGGCTATATTATCGATTGAAAAGGAATTATTAGAAGAGATTGACTACACAGAAATTATTAACAACTTTGCATCTCAAAAAGCTAGAAAAATAGATTTAAAATAAAAACATTTACAATTTTTTTTAAGGCCTCTAATTTGATTTTGGCCTTAGGCCACCAATGGGTTTGAGCCGCCCCTGCTTATCAGTTTATTGGTGTAGGGGAGGATTATTCAAATTCATTAATTGGATAAGTCATTAACCCGTAAAGAATTATTTACTTACATTTTTACCCCTTGGTATATAAAATACATATTATTAAAGGGAAACTTTCACAGATAGCCACTAAAATAATTTTAATTTATGCTCCACATCTATAGCTAGTTTGCTAATTACGATTCATAGCTACATGTTAGAGGGAGAAGAGAGGCGAGCGAGATTGGGAGAGGGAGAAGAGAGGCGAGCGCGAGAGGGTAGAGAGTGGAGAGAGGTGAGTTGTATATGTATATCTATGAAACTGGTATACATATGTATTTGTATATTTGGCGAGCAAGATTGGGAGATGGAGGAGAGAGGCGAGTGAAAGAGTGCAAAGAGTGGAGAGAGGCGATTGCATTTGTATATCTGTCATATGATTGTGTGTGTGTGTATATATACGAGAGAGACGATAGAGGCGCACATTACAACTAAAATTAAATTGTGAGCCGTAATTAATTCAAACTATAGCTATTTTAACTAATTAACTAGTACTCCATTTGTTTGCTTATCCGCGTAATTTTCCCAATTATTAACCCTAAAACCCCATTTAATATTTTGCCGCTCCTTATATGACTTGATGCATATTTGTGAGTTGAATTTCTTATTGATCTACTAGCTAGCTAGTTTGAATCAGAATGTTCGAGTCTTCACTTCTCGTTTATAAAAATGTATATTATATTTTAGTCTTGTGAATATATTAAGTTGTTGTACATGTGAATATATGTTAAACAAATGTTTATACACCCTCAAAATTTAAATTTTCATGTATTCCTTATTGTGATTCACAACTACAAAATTACTAGCTCAAGTAGAGTTAGAAAAATTATTTTATTCGATAGAAGATATATCAATATTGGTGAGTAAAAGTGAAAAAAAAAGCATGAAATAATTGAGCAAATACACCACTCATTAACCATCTGATAATTACCAACACGATACCAAACCAGCTGATATCTTATTAATAGGCTAGCAGAGTAATACATTTAAGAATCGATATTCAATAAATCAAACCGTTAAGTATAATTATCTGTCTGGGTGAACCAGATAAACAACCCTACTTCTGTTTGCTCAACTGTTATTTTATTTTTAGTTTTGGTGCTTCTGTTTGCTCAGTTGTGCTCTATTTTTAGTTTTAATACTTCTCAAATCTCAAATTTCTTTCAACTAAGTACTTCAATAAAATTGTCACTATCAATTCTGGTACTCTTGAACATGTTGCAGCCAAAAAATTCATTCATACAAATTCAAATATCAAAGATCATAATTTTTTTTTAGCAATGGAGTCCTTTTTTTTGTAAGTTGCCAGAAAAAAATGCTTAGCATTAAGCATTTAATACAGCGAGAAAAGTCTTTATTTGTCTGATTTTAATTTGATAAACTGTTAATAAAGTAAAATAATAATAATTAAATTTTATGATCTTAAACTAGAAATATGTAAAATGTATCAAAATGTCATTTAATCTACCTGCTTTAATACATAATATCCTGGAATTGGGACATCATTGTAAGTTTTAAACATTGGTATCAAAATTAGAATCATAAAAATGCCAAAAATAAATTGAATCTGTAAATAGTAAGACAAACAAATTAAAGTGCAAGAAGTAAAAATCAAAGATCCCTAAAAATGAATCCAAAAAATGTACACGAAAATACAATTGTAATTCTTTGAAACTATCATCATATACACTTCATGCCTTTATGATCAATAAGCTAAACTACCTTCACTAAAATGTGTCTTCAGTTCTACATAACTTTCATTATTACCTAATCTTACCTCTAAAGAATAGAAGCATCAGAAAACAAAACCTTGCTGCTTGTGAATAATATTAACATCTTTTCCTGCCTTTTCATGTACAAGCTGACAGCATATGTATTGTTGCAGCAAACTGCACTACCAATAATCTTCTATTGCGATTTGCGACCCATTCCATGTATATGAATCTGAAAACCATACCAAGAGCTGCTAAACATAGATATGAACAGTGCATTCATACAACAGATTTTTCGCCTTCAAGTGGAGATTCCTCTTGTGTCATCCAACTCTCGGCCAAGCAAGGCCGGCCAAGTTTCTGCCAACAAAATCTTGTCAGTCACAAAACATCAACTCCAGGGCAACACATAAAATTTATGTTTAACTTGAAAAATGCAGGTTCTCTAATCAAAAATGACAAAGCTCTCAACTGGGTAACACTGAGGTGTCAAGAAAATACCCGGTACAGTACATACTATAGTTTTCTGTATCATCAATTTGCCAACTTCCCGCTACTTTTGTATTTTATATACAAAGATTAAATTAAACTTGGTATACTGAACTGTTCTACCAAACTGTTTGAAGTTAGAAACCTTCAGCACAAAGATTTCGGTCTATAACTATCGTTTCTTTGGTCAAAATATGAACTAATAAATGCATATGTGCACTGTTATAAATCTTATAAAATAAAACAAGGGTCATAACAACTTTCAGCTCTCTACCGCCACGAATTAATGGTAAGTTATTCGTACATTCTACACTCCCCAAACCCCACCTATGTCATAGCAACTATCAGCTCTCAAACTTCCAGTCAGAAAGCATTTAAATTATCCATACTTGTGACACTGCTCATCCTTGGTGCTTCAGATTAACACATATTTGACTAATTATATTTCTAATTTGCAGCTGGATTATAAAACTCAATTGTTAAGTACAAAAGTTTGACCTACAACAAAAAAATAATCTGCAACACACATGTTTATCGTTTAAAAGAAACGTGATTCCAAAACTACATTGTTCTGCTACTACATAAAATTAAGAGGGGGAAAAACCAATGACCAACGGGGAAAATAGTAGGAAGAGCCAAAAGAAGACCCCTTTACTTAGCCCCCTAATGATTTTACTGGCTGAACCAACCCAATTGTAGAAAACCGTATGTTTGCTACTGAACAGATGGAATGGCCCATGGCATTAGAAAGATTAATATAACACCATCCCACATAAATTTACAAGGGTTACATACACCTTGTTTTCTTTGTTTTTGGATTTAATTTTTTTTTTTGTCTTAGGCTCAGTAGGAGTGGACCGAGAATTTCAACCTTATCCTAGCTTCTTAAAGATTATTAACACCTGAAAACACGCTCAAACCCATTCCTCGTCTGGAAGGACTTACAAGAGGTATAGAGCAATCTTCTGAGAATCAACTACATTGTCTGATACAACTTCCTTCACTATCTAGATAATCCTAACTTATCACAAACTACACGAAAGTTGTCCCTTTTTTAAGGAGATTTACCCATCACAGATATGTACAGAGGAAGAGAGATCTATATACTTTCCCCAGTTATCTGATGCTTTCCAGAAGAACTATTCTTAATTGTGAAAGTTCTATTGCGGGAACGGGTGAGATGAAACTACATAAATCTTCAAAGGGGAACTGTAATCCCTCAATTCGTCCGTTTCGTCATCTCTGAAAGTATGGACAGAACAATCTTATCAACTGAGATGATACCAGCGATAAAATATACAAGAAACATAGTTACTCTAACCAAGATAGGAGGCTGTTGATGGGATTTATCACGTCATGGCCCTAACTCAAGGGAAAGTGGCTATTAATATAAACTGAAAACAGGGAAGAGTAATAAACAAAGAAATAAAGATCTGACAGCAGATATGGAAGCATAAAAAACAAGTTATTAAGTCAACAAAACTTGAGCATCTCAAAGATCAAACCTATTTGTTAAGTCACAAACAAAAGTTTGGCAGTGAGGTGATGAAATAACTCAGGAGAAGAGAATATATATGTCTAGATCTGCTTTACCATATTCAATGAATAATCACTTTGTCGCTCCAACTCACGCAACACCTCCACTGTCAACCCAAACCATTCGTCAATCCAGGCGAAGCAATTACGATGACTCTCTAGGAAAAGTGACCTTTCCCCCTAAGAAAAGAAACAAGAGGAAAAAGAGCAAAGTCATATTTAATTTGCAATTGGTTCATGATGATGGGGATCATTATAAAAAGGGAACTTCAACATCTTCATAAGAAACTGTGAAAACAAAAAAAGAAGTTATTCACATAATAGATTCAGTTAAACAATTACTTGTTCTCCTCTTTTACTCAATAGGGACAAACACTTGGACGATCTTTCACTAAACAACCATCGAATGCACTATAGATCATTCAAATCTGAAAACTAAGCATTGCTACTAGATTTCAACACATTATTTAACCTTCCTCTGAGGAAATTCCTCATGTACGACCAGCAATACAAAGCTCAGAACTTGAGAGATCAAAGACATCAGTTTTGAAGAGGAAAACAGCTTTGGCAGCATCAATATATATAATTAGAGAAACCACTTGCTATTTGCAGGCATAGATTTCAAAGAACATAGTCTTTCCTCCTTTTGAGGATGTAGCAAATAATTTAATGTCATGAAAAAACTTTACATGTCACTAACTCATTAGATCAGTCCATATTGGTGAAATGTGTCCCAAAAATTATGAACATTATAGTGTTAAAGTTCCTAAAAAGTATAATGCTCGGGAATCATTTCAAGCAGACAATATAAATTATTCAATGCAGTATCCAGATTTATACCGCCATCAAAGCCTGTTCCAATCTGCTCCCAAACCCCCAGTATGGAGCATCTACAGTCACCAGTTTGTATGCTGTCATAACGGGACTACAGTGGTCCTGCCAATATCAAGAAACACTAGAGTTAATAGTTCACCTCAAAGAGTAGAAATCGTATTTGGGTATGGTGATATCCTTTTTTTTGCAACTGAAGGACAAAGGTAGGTCCATATTAATCCACGACAACATATGAAAGGCATAAAAAGCTTATTACAGATTAGACAGTAGGCAGAGTTCTCAGAATACAGATTATACAGTAGCAGCAGCTTCATGATAAGGCACTTGATCTTGTCAAGACTGAAGGGCCTCAAAGGGAAGACAATTAGCAGACAAGTTTAACAATGTGTTAATAAAATATTTGCTCCTATTGGTAGAGTATATTTGATGCAATTATGGAGAAGAAACTAATTCCAGGAGTAATCTCAAGGAATATGAACAGCCTCAGGGGTAAATTCTGAGAACTTAGCTAAAGAGAAAGAAGACAGAGAGAAGAGAACAGTCTTTATTATCAATCAATGAATGAACTCCTATAATCTAATACTTATAACCTGGCTAGAGAATGTTAAAACCCCATGCTACAGTAATAACAGAATTTAACCACCTGACAGTGCTAATCGCTTCTAACTAACTCTTGGACATGCTTAACCAAATTTGCCACATCAGCTCCTTTTGCTAACTTGTATCAATATTATATTATTAAGCAAAAGATGACATTCATGCTAGTTTGCTCTATATTACCAAATTTTAATCCGAATGAATCAAATAGAGAAGAACCAAAATGAAGCATAACACTATTGGTTGCTCCGCCCTCCTAAAAAAGAGGAAGCGCAACTGCATATTTCTAACCCCAACTTTAATAGTTGAAGTTTTTACTCCAGTTATGTTCTACTTCTATTTATTTTTTTAAGACTCCAGCTCGTTGTGGGCATTGCTTATCTATGTAGTCCTACTTGCCTTTAGGGGTCACTTGGTTTGTGGAAACAAGGGAAAGCAATTCCACCAGTCGTCGGCTTTTGGTTAGTAAAGGTTAGGACTAGAGGGGACAATTTTGACCGAAATAAACCATTATTTAAATCAATTCACCAAAATAATACGTTTTATGAAATTTTTAAAAACTAGAACAAACATATTTGGCAGCAACGATTTAGGCATTATTTTATTCAAAAAAAATTAGCAGATTGAAGTATAACGGGGGGCTGAAGGCATTAACCAAAGATATGTGCATTATTGGTAGTAATGTTTTAAGCGTAACACGTAATCTAGGCCCACATCTAATATTTATCCCCACCTAAAGGAACAATGTAGTTTCCATTACCTTTACCTATCTAAAACCCTTGGGGGTCGTTTGGTGTGAGGGATAACACTAAATAGTCATGGAATTAAATTATAGTGTCCCTTAATTAGTTGTTTGGTTGGAAAGTCCGGAATAACTTATTCCGGGATTAATAATTAGTACCGGAATAAGTTATCCCTCCTCTTGGGTGGTATAAAAATCTCATCACAATTTGTCATGGGATAAACTTATTAAATGACAACATTAACCTTTAAATCATTTACTTTATATTACTCCTATCTCATTTCATATATATATATATTTATTTATTTCATTACAAGAAGCAATTTAATCTATAGAGCAGCTCATAACCTTCCCCTCCCCTCCCTCCCCAACCCAAAAATAAAAATAAAAAAACCCCTCTTAACAACATACACTACTTATTCTTTCTTCCAGCTAAATGGTGTTTACCAACAACCGTATTGGCTCAACAATGTACACAATGACTATCATTAAAATTAATGGAAAGTTTTTAAGGCTAATGAGTATTTCATTAGACAATGGCTGTCTTAATCTAAATTAAAGGCATAAAAAAACGTTCTAACAAAAAAACAATTCTTTCAGAATAGAAGGAACCAATCTTTTTTAGAGTGGATTATTACAACTTCTTGGCACATAGTTGAACACAAAGAAAATTCATGAGAACTCATACATAAAAATATTAAAGCTAAATAAGGTGAAACAACAATTAAAATTATACCAAAAAATATACACAAAAAGCTAAATAAGGTAGAGGGTATTAAACAACTTATTTTCAGGAAATATGCAATGGATATTATTTTTAGTACAACAAACCAAACAGTCAAATAAGAAATGATACCAGGATAACTAATCCCATCATATCTAATCTCGGCATAACTTATCTTATCATAACTTGTATTCAAACCAAACGAGCCCTTAGCTTATGCAATCTTCCAATTAGATGCACAACACTCCCAACTCATACAACTATGTTCCCAATTCTCGTCGGCGCCGAAACAAGATTCACGACGAAACAAGATTCACGATGTTATTGCCATAGGTCTTTCGAAAAGCTTGGAACAACGAGTATTTTTCCTGTTCTTAAAATACATTTTTTCTTTACAAAATAGTAGAACAAATGCTTGGATTAGGTTTCAATATTCCCACAAGGTTAAGGATTGTGGTTTTAATGGCTTCCTCAGAAGATAATTTCTTTTTTTCACTATTTGTACAAGGTTAAGGAGGTCCATGCTTTAAGTTATTATAGCTTTGGGTGGCGCAAATTTTTGCATCACTACAACATTTAAGGTCATTTTTTGTTCGAAGTTGTTATTTTCCTAATCTAGAGAAAAACATATCTTTGTTTCTGCGATCATATTGTGGTAAAGAAAAAGAAAAATTGAATTTCTAGTAACATACTCTACTGCCTCCCTGTGTTTGGTTTTGTTTGAGCTTGTATTGATATAAGTTCAACCCTAACTAAAATATAGATTGAGTTGTACGTTGATTATTGTTCACAAGCATACTTAGTCTTGCTAGAAAGAAAGGAAGAAACTTGAGGTGAGTTATAATATAATTTGTTCTTAGTAAACTTGAGGTGAGTTATAATATAATTTGTTCTTAGTAAAGTATTTTTCTTACAAAATCATGCCCATAAGGTGTTTGCTTAAATGTTTAATTGGAGTGAGTGAGCTCACATTACACTACGTTGATTGAGTTAAGCCTTATAAGTTAATATCAAAGACATGATTTATTTTCTTTAATACCATAATCCTTGCAGATTATGACTTGTTGATGCATGATTCCTATTATCATTCTCCAGTAGGCTAAGTTGTTGACTTGTATTAAAGTGTGTATAGCAGCCTGTAGTTTATATTAGGCATTGCAATCAAAGTATTGATTTGACGAGTCCTTTTCCCTTGAACACACTGAGTTACAAAGAAGAAGGAAAGAAAATTTCAAATAAAAAAGTGGAACCAACCGTTTATGTCAATTTTTCTATTGATATTGTAATTGCTCAAAAGAAAAGAGTGAACAAAAGATGAAAACAACTAACTACACAAAAGAAAACCATAAATGAAGGACTAGACATGCACCTATTGTCCACTACAAAGTTACAACAAGGTGAAGATACAAGTGTGGCATAAACACAAATCATTATCTGAATTAACATGTAAGCTATGATTTTCTAGTAAAATATACTCCACTGATAGATTTTATATTGGTTTTTCGCCTTTAATAATAATTCTTTTCTCTATTTGGACTTGGGATTAACTATATTTATTATTAATATATCCATATAGAACTATGAAATTGTCAAAATTGTAACATTTAGGCCCTCTTCTTCTTTGATGGCTATATTACTTTAGCTACACTCTTAAACTCTTTTGGTTATTGGCTTTAGCGATGAATAGTTGGTGTGGCATTAGTTTAAAATATTGTTTACCTTTGCGTACTCTCATTTGGCCCGTATATTATGCAACAAGAGTTTTTCTATTTAATAATTTTGTTTGTTCTTGGACCAACATCAAGTTAACGTTTAAATTTACTTTCATCTGCGTTTTTCATTTCATAAGCACTTTTATGGCTAGTTATAGTGCATACTAGTGGGATACCGATCCACTTGAACCATCTTTATTAACTGAACAACTCACTCATAGGTCAGGGAATGGAGGTATTAATATAATTCTAAATTCGAGGTGTGATGGAAAGTTTTGGAACTGTGCACTAAAATATTCAACCACGAGTCTTAAAAGTGATTAGATTATTTGAATTGTATGGTGTTTATAGATCTCATCAACCTATTGTTGATCACTTCATTGGTCGAGAAATGGTGTTGTGAGACTCATACGTTTCACTTTAGCACGAGTGAGGCAACGATCACCTTACAAGATGTAGTATGGTAATCCAGTACTTGGTAATGAGCCGACGAGGACCATGGATGATTGGCAAAACATATGTCAAAGATTCGATTTTTAGGATTTATTCCACATCCTCAAGACTTCAACCATAGTAGCCTCAAGGTTTCAGCACATGCTAGGGCAATCCTAGTTGCCTGACATGGCAACACAAGATATGGTAAATCAAAAAGCTAATGTTACATGTTTTGGATGACTATTGGTAGATACATCTAGTAGTTATTTAAAAATCCTATATCTTCTTATGCTTAAGGACGTTAATGCAATTGGGTCTCATAGTTGGGTAGTGCGATAGTTGGATTTCTACCACAACTCCAGTTATACTTAATAACTACATAAATTATTTATATTTCTTCTTGTTTATAATGACCTAATCATACATATATATATTATGTTTAGATTTGGGCATGAGAGAGGATTACTGTCCTCAGACCCCAAGTAATAGCACAATAAAACACCAAAAATATTTTGATTTACCTAGGGTCCACATGCTACTAGATGGTTTGTACATTTTAGTTTGACCGACACTACTAAGCATGCATTGGAAGTTTTTAGGGATGCACTTGATTCCATGACGGAGTATCAAGTATGATGCTATATCAATTTTGTTTTATTTTTCATGTATATTGTGGTGAGAATTATTTGTTTTTTTATGTAGTTTATTTGGGAACCATATTCTGATGACTTAATTGAGAGTTGTTCCGACTATTATCGCATTGAACAAGACATATGGTGTCTTAGAGCTCTAATTTTTTGTTAGCATGTTGTCGAGGTTCACTTGCCTGATCGAGTTATGAGGCAATTTGAGTTGAAATAGATGATACAAACTCCATTTCCATTTGATTCCC